CATCCGTTATCCGTATATTTCAAATGGAAGTCTCTTATTTTACTCGCATAAAAGTATTTCTTTTCTAGTTTGTTTACTATGTTTTTTTTTTTTTTTTTTCTTTTTTTTTTCTTTTAACACGAAGTCCATCACCGAGGGCAATCTAAATTTAGCTTAAATCAAAAGCTTTTTTAAAGCCATTTGTTATCCAATATGTATAAAACCATATCCGTTCTTCATATCACTCACATAAAAGTATTTCATTTCTAGTTTGTTTTCTCTATGGTTTGGCTTTTTACACGTAGTCCATGACATAAGACTACTTGAATTTTCTTAGATTAAAAACTATTTTCAAAACCATTTAAATTCCATAATTCAATCGAACATGTCCTTATCATTCACTTAAAAGTAATCCATTTCTAGTTTGTTTTCTATATGGCTTGCTTTGTTAATGCTTTTTTTTTTTCTAAATAGTCCTCCATAACTTGATTTAGCTGAGATTAGAAGCTATTTCTTATGACTGTTCATCCGTAGTTATTCTTCGCTTTCGTATTTGTAAATTAATTCAGTGGAAAGCCAAGGGGAATATTGCTTATGTATCTTCCATGTACATTAGTTTTTATTGGTGACTGAATAATCATTCACACACACACACATACACACACACACACACACACACACACACACACACACACACACACACACACACACATATATATATATATATATATATATATATATATATATATATATATATATATATATATGTATGTATGTATGTATATACATATATACACATATATTACATACATATATATATGCATATTTATTTATATATACATATATATGTATATATGTGTGTGTGTGTGTGTATGTATATATGTATAAATATGTGTAATTCTGATATAAGTTCATAATATGGGAAGAACATGAACTAAAATATATCATTCGTACTATTGGACTAATTTTTCGTGAATTTATGAATTTGGAATCCTTGAATTACCTCAGGTTGAAAGGTATTTCAATTTACCATGTCTAGTCCTATCAATTTCTGGCGTTATAGCTCGTTCTAAATATATTTTTTGATTTAATTCGTGAATTAGTGATTTTGGAATCCTTGATTTAGCTCAGGTTGAAAGCTATTTCATATTATCGTGTTCAGTTATTTTTATCCTTGTCGTTATAGCTCGTCTTAAATATATTTTTTGGATTAATTTGTGAATTTGGAATCCTTGATTTAGCTCAGGTTGAAAGCTATTTCATATTGTCGTGTTCATCCCTATCTATTCTTGGCATTATAGCTCGTCTTAAATATATTTTTAGATTAATTCTTCGTGAATTTGTGAATTTGTAATCCTTGATTTAGCTCAGGTTGAAAGCTATTTCATGTTATCGTGTTCACCCCTATCTATCCTTGGCGTTATAGATCGTCTTAAATATATTTTATGCAGTTTATCTTTTTTTCGTTTTAAATTTCTATATGAAATTTATTGATTGTCACAAAGGACTATCTGAATTTAGCTAAAATTAAAAGCTATTTTCAAAGCCATTTGCCATCCGTTATCCGTATATTTCAATTGGAAGTCTCATTTTACTCGCATAAAAGTAAATTTAGCTTAAATCAAAATCTATTTTTAAAGTCATTTGTTATCTAATATGTATAAAATCATATCCGTTTTTCGTATCACTCACATAAAAGTATTTCATTTCTAGTTTGTTTTTCTATGGTTTGGCTTTTTACACGTAGTCCATGACATATGATAACTTGTTTATTCCCTATATGGTTTGCTTTATTGATGTTTTTTTTTTTCTAAATAGTCCTCCATAACTTGATTTAGCTTAGCTTAGAAGCTATTTCTCATGACTTCAATCAAGTTTATCCTTTTCGATTTCATATTTGTAAATCAATTCAGGGGAAAGTGAAGGGGAATATTGTCGATGTATCTTCCACGTCCATTAGTTTTTATTTCGTGAATTTATGAATTTGGAATCCTTGATTTAGCTCAGATTGAAAGCTATTTCGATTTACCATGTTCAGTCCTATCAATTTCTGGCGTTATAGCTCGTCTTAAATATATCTTTTTGCAGTTGTTTATCCTTTTTTTCTTTTTAAATTTATATATGAAATTGATTGAAGTCTGTGTGTGTGTGTATTGTGTATACATATGTATATGCATTTCTTTTCTTTTTAGTAATCATTTCATTTTATCTACGTAAGGTTTATTTCCTAAAAATAAATAAATAAATAGATAAATAAAAAAAGATAGAATCCTCGTTTCTTAAACATTTCTCTTGAGTGTATTTCACTCAGTCGAAAACTAAATCTAATTACTATCTTCAGCCTTTATTATCTTTTGCATTGACACTTCGTTTTATAACATATTGTTTGTCTTTCTTTTCTCAGTAACATCCCATTTTTGTCTGCATGACTTTTTATTTTTTTCTTTTCTATATGGTTTGTTTCGCTAATGCCTTTTTACACTTGGTCCATCAGAGGATTCTCTGGATTTAGCTCAAATTAAAAGCTATTTTCAAAGCCATTAAGTGCCCATCTCATATTCTTATTGCAAATAAAAGTATTTCGTTTCTAGTTCGCTTTCTATATGGTTTGCATTTTTTACACGTAATCCATCTCTGTAAAATACATGGCAGAGGAAAGACTGCAGACACGCAATGAAAAAAAATAATAATACCTTCTTTCAACTTGTTTCGATCGATTTTCTTGGGATTTTAAGACTTTACTGGTAGGAGTAGGGCGTATGATTATTTAATATCGATGACTGATGCCTTCATTATTATCTCAGTTTAATAGTTTGGTATTATATGCTGTAAAAAAAAATTGGTGTCAGATTTATTTCTATTTATTTATTCATATATATATATATTTTTTTTTTTACTTGATAATTATTTTATTTTTTTCTCGTTTGATTTTCTTTTATTTGCAATCTTTCTGCAGAGCTCTTGTTGCATCGCATTTCATCCATACTGAAGCTGACACTAAAGATACAGTAAACAACAGTACAATAAAATATAAGTAAACTAAATATAAGTAAACTATAAATATTTTAACTTGATTTAGTTCCTCTTGGAAGCTACTTTAAACCACTCTGTCCAACCTTACTTTTTCTCGTTTAAGTTTTTTTTTTATTATTATTATTATTCACACAACTTGGAAAAATAACTTTATCTTGATGATTTTTGTTAATCTTATCTCCATATTAGGTGGATTTATTAATACATTTAATTAAATCGCCCTAATCTCTGTTTCTTTCATGTACATTTCTACCATACTGAGGATTATAACAGAAAGTCACACAGTATTAGTTTTTTTTTTTTTTTTCTTTTTTTTTACCTGAATTGTTGGGGCTTTTAACCGAAAGTTTTTCAAATTATTCAGCTAATCCCTTACTTATCTTCGCGTTTATAGTTCGCATTATAATACATTCATATAATTTAAAATTTCATCATTGATGTAATTATGATATGGTAATATAATGATACAATGCTACTATAATAACATAGTAATATGATATAATAATGATGTAATGATTAATAGTAATATATAACAGTTTATATAATTAATGATATAAAAAATGACAGATATAATTAATGTAATTAATGATAAAATCATAATCATTATGATACAATCTGTGTTTCTCATTTTTGCAACAAGCATTTTTTCTATCATGATTTGCTTTGGTCACGTGTTCATTGTTGCAGCTGTTGTTTTTCCAATATTGCTAGACAACAAATTACATTGTATTGTTAGATGAAGTTGAAAGATATTTTCTATTATAGGTGTAGTTGTAATCAACATTATATGTATATATATATATATAATATATATATATATATATATATATATACATATATATATATATAATATATATATATATATATATATATATATATATAATAACATTGTTATGATGGTTGTTATCGTTATTATATAGAATTATGGTTATGATGGTTGTTATCATTATCATATAGAATTATCATTGTTATGATGATTGTTATCATTATTATATAGAATTACCATTGTTATGACGGTTGTTATCGTTATTATATTCAGAAGAGTAAGAGCAGACAAGCAAGGGCGCCGCCATGTGCCATGAGGCCGCCCATCCTCATTTTCTGCAATGAGGTGACGTCATTTTGCTCTCACCGCCTTTGCAACATGAACACTTTATATTCAGAACAACAAATACAAATGAAAGTTGGTATATGGAAGGTAATATACTTAACACGTTCATTATAAGCCATCTACAGTAGTGTTATCCTTATCAGCTATGTAACATGACGGTGGCGGTGCATTTTGACATTCTTTGTAAAACTATTTGTAAATCAAGTGAAAGGATCTAGTCAGAGATTTTTCGTTAGTTAATAAGATTACTGCATTTATCTTAAATTACAAAGCATCGATTATAAGATGATGCTTGTATTTAATCTGATTCTATCTTTTTACATTATGTATTATTGTTTTCAATATGCCTTTTTACTAATTTAACATGGTTATATTTTAAGAATGTGAATTTACAGTATAGATGCATATCACTATAACGTGTTTATACTTTAAAATTTGTGGCTTTACTGTATAGATACACATCAAATACCTACAGCATAGGATGTGATATAATTGACCGTTATCTATTGTATCCATTTGTGTATAAATATTTGTGTGTGTGGACTGGTAATCACAATAGAAGAGATGGAAAGAATCTCAAAATTATGACATGGTGCCAATTATATTTTCATTAATTATATTTACTTTCTTGCTTAGAAATACTTTTCCTTCTCTCTGTCATAGATCTGTGGCACCATATGTGTATATATATATATAAATATATATATATATATATATATATATATATATATATATATATATAATATATATATATAATATAATTTATATATATATATATAATATATATATATATATATACATATATATATATATATACATATATATATATAATATATATATATATATATATATATATATATATATATATATATATATATGTACGTGTGTGCGTGTGTGTGTAAAGAGAGAGAGAGAATGTGTGTAATCACAGCAGTTGTATTTTTCAACACCTATTTAAACTTAAAATCAAAGCTTGATCTCCAAGTGTGACCTCAGAGTGACCGTTTCAAAGTGTGACATCTTGTTCTCTTCACATCTGACCCCATCTCTAAGACTTGACTACTTCCAAGTATGAGCTGAGCATCCATGAGTTAACCATTGCTCCTTCAAAACGTCAGGCAGCGCACGTTCTTTCAAGGCTGACCTCCGCCTCCAAGAATGAAGTATGACTCAGTACTCCTCCAAGACGCAAAGCAAGCAAGACCTTCAAGTGTTAGTCCGGAGTCAAAGCACTTCAAGTTTTGCCCAAGTGCGACTAAGTGCTTGTCCAAAGCGCCGAACGACCAACGACTTCAAGGGTTAATGCGATGCGGCCATCTCAAGTGTGACTTCAATTCCGAGGATGAGGAGAGACTTCATACGAGTATTATGGTGAGCCTCACACACACTTAACCTAATATTTTTTACGTTTGTCTTTATTTTCATTACTGAAGTACAAGATGGATGAATCTTATTAAACTATTTCGTTTTTATTTCAAAATATTTCAGAATCGACTCTGGGACGTCACACTTGAGCACCAGATGACACGCTCGGCCTCGGAGGCAGACTTTGAAGCGCCACTGGCCGGCACGAAGGAAAGTTTCGAACCGCTTGAAGCTCTGAACGTTGGATGCTATTTGTTATTATCTTTTATAATCATTGCTATTATCCTCATTATAATTGTTATTATTATCATTATAATTGTTATTATTATGATTATTATCATTGTTATTATTATTATTATTATTATTATTAACGTTATTTTTATTATTATTATCATTATCATAATTATTGCTATCATTACCAGTATTATTATTATTGTCATTATCACTATTATTATTATTATTATCACTCATGCACAATTTGTTAGAATGAGAAGAAAAGTTCCTTACTGGATCGTCACACTTCTGTCCACGTCATCCTGAAGGCAGCCACGTCATAACACTGTCATCTTGGGTCAAAGTCCAGTGTGAAAAAGGTCAATTACACACTTGAAATGTCATGATGAGACGTCACACTTTTAGGTCATACTTCGATGTCACTTTACGAATGTTATGTTGATGTTTCGTATTATCTGAAATGCCGTTACTTTCATTGGAATCTTTGTTGATTTCTATATTTTTATTGAGTATATTTTTACCTATCAGTATCTGTGTGTCCTACTTTTTTTCTTTTTTTTTCTTTTTTGGTTTGTATGAGGTTTTACACTTTTGTAAAATTCTAGCGATGCCATATTAAGCTATATTATATCACCATCTTGATTTAAAACCATCTGTTCATTTCGAATTTTATATGTACGCTATTTTGTCGAAAATAAAAGATGTACATTTGGTAAATACTTTTCCTATTCAACCTTCTATGGATGAATTGACAGATTTATATAATTTCCATGTGTGAGCAAGAAAATATAAAAGGTCCTATCCTTATCACCGTCATCCACTTATTTTAGACCTATGGCCTATTCCTCATAACCAAAAAAAAGGATTCTAAATATCTAGCCTATAACGCTTATAAATGTTGAGTTATTACAAGAAGAATCTGCCAATCGCACACATCCACACTTAAAAAGCAGATCAAACATATAGTTTAGTCACCCTTACAATATTTACGTTTTCTTATTAAAACAAAATAAAAGTTTGCAAAGAAAATGTATGTATGTGTGTGTGTGTGTGTGTGTGTGTGTGTGTGTGTGTGTGTGTGTGTGTGTGTGTGTATGCATGTGTGTGTGTGTATGTTTGTGTGTGCGCACGTATGTGTACATGTGCATGTGTCTGTGTGTGCACGTGTCTGTATGTGTGTGTGTGTGTGTGTGTGTGTGTGTGTGTGTGTGTGTATGTGTCTGAGCACAGCTTAAGAAGTGATCTCCCGTTTTCTATTTCAAAATCATCATATAACTGTTTCAACTGATGCACATAAATGGTAGACACAACATTATTAGGAAGACTGTTCTATATTTCATTATTATTCTTCGGAAAATAAACGACATCATTTTTGTTTGTTGTTTTTACTTTGTACTTTGTCCTCTCGTTATCCCTGTCTCCTGTTATCTTTATATAATTTCACTCTTCCTGTAGTCTCCATACCCGCTCACAAGACTGTCTCGCAGCAGACTTCATCAGGACGTAACAGACGTCAACTCGGCACGTTACACACACACACACATATATCATCATCATCATCATGGGGGCTGACGCCGACGGGGGCGCATAGCCGCATCCACCCTTCGCTTCCACCTACGAGGATCCCTCATGGCTAGGCGCCAGGCAGGGACTCGGCCCATCTCTAGTTCTTCACGGTAGGTTTGGTCGATCTGCCCAAGCCATGACTTCCTTGGTCGTCCCAAAGGCCTCCTCCACCCAGGGTTGTCTCGAATAGAGACGACCTGATGGGCAGGATC